AACGAACTACCCCCCGAGATCCGGATGATTCCGGATCTCCTTACTTTCCGCCGCGCCCTCAAGACATGGCTTTTCCAGCAAGCGGGCCTGGCCTAGGGAGGATTTTAAATCGGGTTTTTAAATCGGGTTTTTTAAGAATAATTTTAATTGCACAACTTTAAATATTGGTTTAATTTGGTTTTATCTGGTGGGGGTTGTAGATATGTCTATGTTTTTAAATATGTTGTGAGCCGCCCTGAGTCCCGTTGGGAGAAGGGCGGGATATAAATCAAAATAAATAAATAAATAAATAAATGCATGTTTCTATGTCTATTATCTTATAATATACTCCAGTTGTATTACTATTGATACTAAATATTATCTATATTATATTTTGCTACTATTATTAAATTACAGAATCATTATACTATTTTTATTACTAGTATACTATTGCTATATTACTACTACTATTAATTTTATTACTACCGGTAGTATACAAGAGTGTTTTACTATTATAGACCCTTTCCCTCCCTTCTTTAATACTTAGCAGCATGTAAAGCACTGGCACTTTCCCAACATTGTATGTAGCTGTGCTATGTCTCTTCTTCCTCTGGACCATTCAGTCTCTGTGAAGAAAAAACTCCTTTTATTTGGCTGCTTTCTCTGTTTGTTGCTGCTGCAGAGCTTCCAAAATACACACCACACATCTCCTCCACACCTGTTTCAAGGTTTCACTTTTTATAAGAAGTTTTGCTGTGCTAACACCAGGGCAAGGCTTGAATAGGAGAGGCCGGGGAGGGGGAGGGGGGTGAGCAGCACAGATGCCTGCAAATGTTCACCAATACCCTGCTCTTCCACAGGGGGTTTCTAAATTTATGTAGGAAAATCTGGGTTCATGGGTACAAGATTGGCAGTACCTGGTTCAACTATAGTAATTGTGAGAAGCATCTGCACATCCAGATAAATCACAGATTAAACATAGCCTGGTGTCAGCTCTTCAAAGTAGTTCAGGCAAAAAACCAAAACCATAAATACCAATGCTGTATTTATTGTAAGCTTCTAGTAACAGAATCTTGCAAGTCTGCAAGCACTTCCCCTCCTCCTCTGCCTTTACTTTCCAGAGAACTAGGTAGGATCCCTTTCGAGACCCTTATTCTACCCCCATTCCTCTTTAGGACTCAGATTTTGTTTACCAGGCCATTGCATAGACTGCATCTCTCCCTTCTGCCTCCTAACATTACTCTCACAGCCCATTTACACCCACCAAATTGCTGCACCTGCCAAAGAACCAATGAGTCGTATCAATAAAAAGATACGTGAGGTTCACAGTAAAGGATAATTTTATGCTGCAATGGACCTGGAACACTGTGTCTTAGTCTGGTCACCACAATTCAAGAAGGGAACTAAACATGCAAAGAAGAGAAATGAAGATGATGAGAGGTTTGTGGCTAAATATGCTAAATATGAAGAATGTTTAAAGAAACTGAATTGAAGAGAAAACAAAGGAGCGCCATGACGGTAGTCTTGCAATACTGGACAGGCTGTCAGAGGAAGTGTGTCTGAGTTTATTCTCCCATAGTGTCTAAAGACCAATAAATGGAAGTTTTAAAGAAAGAGATAAGGAATTCCCTGATTGTAAGCAGTGGAACATCCTGCTTCCTTGGACTTGTGGGTGTTCCATCACTTCAGGTTTTTAAACAAAGCTACCTGCCTCGGATGGTATAAGGAGTATTTTCTTGGGCAGAGTATTGGATTAGAAGGCCTATAAAAACTTTTCTAACCCTATAAGGTGGGTGCCTTACCTCCCTTGGGCTGGGCCAGCTGGTGGTCGGCCTGCTCCGTCTCTGCCGCTTGCCAGCTACGCCTCGGCCGGCGCAGGGGGCGGAACCACGCATGTGCAGCACTCCCAGGCAGGGAAAGTCCTCGACTTATGACCGGTTGGGTAGTCCTCGACTTACAACCGGTTTAGTCCTTGACTTACGACTGGTTGGGGTCGCGGCATTAAAAAGGTTGAGAACCACTGGTTTAGACGTTTCCAATTCTGATCAAAGACCCTGGTGGCTGGAGAAAGATAAGAGACAGCTTAGGGATTCTTGCATTACTGGAAGATGGCACAAAATTGAGAAAGGCTGTTCTAGTTTTTAAGAACAGGAAAGAAAAATATATGTTGTGCTTTATAAAGTGACAGACGTGCTATTTCAGAAAGTTTTGTTGTTCTTATCTCTATAGTAGTTTTTGCAGCTCAACCCAATCTGCTAACTGTGGGCACTTTAAAACAGTCAAACAATAGAAAAAAACCCTATTAAATTAGTATCTTCCTCATCCCCAGATAGTCACTATCGGTGAACACAAGTTAAAAGCCTACTATTATATAAATATAGACAAAAAGTA